GTGTGAATCAAGCCTAGGTTGCTCCTTGCAAAACCCCACTATGTTGTAGAATTGTGAAACCCAACTATTTGTCGAGTCTCCTTCTTCTTCAGTTCCTGATACGCTTGTGCTTTCAGATTTTGGTACTAACCTTTGCTCTGCCCCTGATGCTTGTCTTCCAGGTCTTAGTCATACATCCTCGCTGCTTGCCCATGGTTCTGATGGTGACAGAGTAGGTAGTACAAGGGAATCACAGGAGGAAGTTGAGAGAGAGGAAAGGGTATGGAAAATAATAATGGAAGAGTGGAATGAATTGACTGGAGTAGAACTAGAGAAGGAAAAGGAGAATCAGAACAAGGAAAGCTGGTTTAAGTAGCTGAAGAAGAGGTGGAGCATGAGATGTTGAGGGAGAGGCCCGGAGAGGAGAACAGAGAGAGAACTGGAGAGGAAAATAGAGAGGAAACAGAAGTAGGAGAATTCCCCCTGAAGCTCCCCATGAGGGTGTATATAACCAGCTCAAACCCCTGGCTCCCCAAATGCTCCTTATCCACCTTCTATTCAGCTTTGATAATTTGGTACCTATGGTTGAGGAAAACATTCGACAACTGGTAACATTTGCTCTTTCTGTTATTGGCTTACTTGGTGAGTTTTTCGGTTATTGTGCTTCTCCTTCTCATATTTGGATCATTGACTCTGGAGCTACCAACCACATGACAAGAGCCTACCCTAACCAACCAAGTAACCTTACTGAAACCCATCACAAACATATTGTTATTGCCAATGGTGAATTGGTAGTAGTGATCTGTCTCTTGAGCTTTCATCCACTGCATCTTTCCCTCTTACCAAGACCCTTCTTGTTCTTAATCTCACTACAAATTTGATTTTTGTTGGCCAATTAGTTGATGAAGGTAACATTCTCATCTTCTCTCAGGATGGATGTTTGATTCAGGACCGGAACACTGGGAAGGTGAAAGGGAAGGGGCGTAGGTTGGGCCATCTGTTTGCATTGGAGTTTTAGAAGTCTCAAACATTAGCATCATCAACTTATTTCAATTCCTCCACTTCTAGTTCCTTTCTGAATCATAGAAATAATGTTTGGGACTTATGGCATAAACCTTCGGGTCATTTACATGCTGAAAAATTAAAATTTTTGTTTGATTCAGGCCTTATTAAGAATAGAGTTCCTTCCTTGCATACCTTTAATACATCTTGTGTTTCTTGTTGCTTAAGTAAGAGTTGTACCTTACCATTTCCTCACATATCTGAGCATGCTACCTCTCCCTTCAAGCTTATACATAGTGATGTTTGGATTGCATTTGTCACTTCTCGGCTTGGATACAAATATTTTGTGTCGTTCATTGATGATTGTACCAGGTACACATGGATATACTTTCTTCACCACAAGTCTGAGGTGTTCCCAACATTTAAGCTGTTTCATGCTATGGTACGGGTTTAGTTTCAATCACGAGTGCGTATTCTCTGTTCGGATTCAGGGGGAGAATACACTGATGGAGATTTTTTTATCCTATTTGAAGAATCATGGAATACAAGTGCAACGAAGTTGTCTAGATACTCCTCAGCAGAATGGTGTGGCTGAGCGCAAGAATGGACACCTTAGTGTTGTGAGGACATTATTGTAGGAGTTCCATACTCCACCTTCTTTTTGGGTAGAGGCAGCCATTACAATTGTGTTTTTGATCAACTATATTCCTTCCTCTATTTTTGGTAATATGTCTTCCTTTCAAAAGTTGTTTGGTCGTTCTCCAAATTTATCTATGCTTCATGTTTTTGGATGTGTGTGCTTTGTTCATCTTCCCTCTCGTGAACACTCTAAATTGTCTGCATAGTCTATCATTTGCGCCTTTGTGGGTTACATTCCTAACCACAAAAGATTTCTTTGTTATGATCCCTCTATTCGTCGCATTCGTATATCACGTAATGTTGTTTTCTTTGAGCACACTTCCTTTTTTACTGGAATTGCTAGATTGTCTGCACCGTCTGTTTCTATTTTGCCAAACTTTGATTCATAGGATGCTCCACTTTCTGTCGAGAAGGACCTTCTCGTCTTCTTTCGCAAACGGTTACGTGCTCTAGCCCCTGTGCCTGTGACTCTCCTTCCTCCTAGTTCAGATCATCATCTCTTGTAAGTGATACCTCTACTTCAGACACTCTTCATACTTCTGTTCCTCTTCGTCGTTCTACTCGTATATCTAGATCTCTTGACCGCTATGGTTTTCCTTTAAACCGTAGCTCTTTGTCTGATGTCTTATCCTCCACAGATGTTCCTCGCTTCTACCAAGAAGGTAATAGTAGCCCTCATTGGAAGGAAGCCATGGATGCAAAGATTCATGCTTTACATGAGAATGACACTTGGGACCTTGTGCCTGCTCCTCCAGATGCATACATTGTTGGGAGTCGTTGGGTTTACAACATTAAGCTGAAATATGATGGATCTCTTGATCCATGTTCTTTTAGCAGTGTTTGCTGCTTAGTCTTGGACCATATGCCAACTTGTTGATGTGAAGAATGCCTTTCTTCATGGTTAGTTGAAGGAGACGGTCTACATGAAGCCTCCTCTTGGATATTGCAATGATCCTTCTTTAGTATGTCGCCTAAAAAAATCTATATGGTCTAAAACAAGCTCCTTGAGCATGGTTTGAACGCTTTTGCGATGTTGTAGTTGTTGTTGGATATAGCTAGAGTTCTTCTTATCACTCTCTCTTTGTTAGGCGATGGCCTCAGAGTATTGCCGTTCTCCTACTATATGTTGATGACATGTTGTTGACTGGGAATGATGCTGAGGGCATTCGTGAATTGAAACTATTACTTCATAATTCCTTTCACATGGACTTGGGCCCTCTCACCTATTTCTTGGGACTGGAACTACATCGTAGTGATCGAGGGTATTTTGTTTGTTAGCAGAAGCATGCCTCTGACCTTGTTAAACTTGCTAGTCTTAATAATGAAAAGCATGTTGATACACCTATGGAGTTAAATCTTAAGCTATCTAAATCTGAAGATCCATTACTTCCTGATTTTTCCTTGTATCGCTAGCTTGTCGGGTTCTTCATTTATCTCACTATGACTCGGCCTGATATTTCTCATGTTGTTCAGGTTGTTAGTCAATTTGTTTCTTCTCCTCGTTCGCCTCGTATGACTGTTGTTCATCGCATCATTCGATTATGTTAGAAGCACAACTTCTCAAGGATTGTTCTTCTCCTCCTCTCCTATTCAGTTGAGAGCATATGCTGATGTGGATTGGGCTGGTTGTCCAGACACTCGTAGGTCCACTTCTAGGTGGTGTGTTTTTCTGGGTGATTCACTCATCTCTTGGAGGTATAAGAAACAACAAATAATCTTAAAGTCTTCCACTAAAGCACAGGGTATAGGGCTATGTCTTCGGTTTGCAGTGAGATTGTTTGGTTATGATCTCTCTTTATGGATTTTGGCATTCAACTTCCTACTCTTGTTCCTCTCTATACAGACAATACAAGTGATATTAAGATTGCATCTAACCTTGTCTTCCATGAGAGGACCAACCACATCGAGGTGGAATGCCACTTTATCTGAGATCTTTTCACTACTGGGTCTATATCTCTTTCTCATGTAGCCTCGGACATGCAAATTGTTGATATCTTCACCAAAGCTATGACTAGAGTTCGACATCTCTTTCTTATAGACAAACTGATGCTTATGTCTAGGCATCAGTTTTACGGGGAGTGTGGAGACTTTGTAACTTAATGTATCTTATTAGTATAGTCCCTGTTGTATATTACTTATACATCTTATTCTTCTTTTCTCTTCCAGCCCTATATGGGCATTCTTGTAATTGTACATATCTTTTAATATATAAGAGACTCCTTTGAAGTGGGGGTCGTTCATTCTTGACACCTCTAAGATTATTCTTGTTGTTTTCTCTATTCTGCCAAGAGTATTGACAAACAGAACCTAGTCTGCAACCAAATTACTGACAGTTGCCACAATCTTGTCCAGATTCCAATATTTGTCTTCAAAAATTTTCTATTTCTTTCCTTCCATATGTTCCAACATATTGCAAACGAGAGACAGCTTCAGAGAATTCTTGCTTTCTTGTTTCCTCTTAACTTCGGCCATGTAGAAAAGAATTCTAGAGCAGATTCTGGCTGAAAGTTTGTTAACCCGAACATAGCACTGAATATTCTCCACAAAAGCCAAGCAATCTTGCACGAGAAGAATAGAATGCCAACAGTTTTCTCCTGTTCTTTACAGAGGAAATACATATTAGCCATGCTGAAGCCCCTAGATTTCAGATGGTCCACAGTCAATATGCTAATGTTTTGTTCAATTATAAAAAAAAATGCTAATATTTTGTTCGTCAAGTCAACCTCTGTCTTAACAGCCTAGGACTGCAAAAATTTCAAAGTTTACCTTATCTTACTATTTCTTTCAAGGTATAGAAAATTTTAAGCTCTTACATGGTTTGTTCTGAATATGTTACAGCAAGCCAAATATGGCATTGAAAAATTATCATCAACATATCAGATTAAAGGTTTGAAGTCAGTCGTATGGAAAACAAGAGAAAGCACTATTTCAATGGGGCACTGTGGGGCCTAGTCCCATCAGGTGCATTACAACAATGATTCAGCCAGAAGGATCTGTCTTGCAAGATTCTGCTGCTTCCAATCCTGATGTCGCTCCTCGGATCAAATTTAAGAGACTTGATAAAACAGCCAGGCATATAATGCAGGCATGGTCTTCATATTAAATCCCTCTATACAGCTTGCATCATCTCCTTTACCTACGATAATAGTGTTGTGCTTTGCAGATTCTGGATAAAGAGGCTGTAGAGGAAGTAAGGGCACAGAGAGAAATACCTGATGTAAAGCCTGGGTATATTGTTCAGCTCAAAGTGGTATGACATGCTTGGTGAGGTGATTTTGAATTGGGTTGTTCATAGCTGATCCCTGATATGAACAGGAAGTGCCTGAGAACAAGCGACGTGTTTCGATTCTGAAAGGCATTGTTATAGCAAGAAGGAATGCTGGTCTAAATACAACATTTAGGTTAAGGAGGCTGGTGGCAGGGGTTGGTGTGGAATCTGTCTTCCCTTTGTAAGTGAATATTATTTATATAGAGTCTTTCCTATGAAGTCTGTGCCTTTCACTGCTTTTTATTTTAATAAGTGAATGTGAATTCCAAAAAAAAAAGAGACAAAACATGCATTATGTCATAGATGCATAAATGAAAGGTTTGAATGAAAATGTCTTAAGTTAATAAAGGTAATCATGCATAATTAACATGCTAGGAGCTTCTTACTATATGTATATACATGAACAGGTGAAATCAAAAAGCAAGAATGCAGGGCAAGAGGTCTTCCAGATATCTTTCTTTATAGACCATCTTACAAATGCATCTATCATGTATATTCTTCATTGGTCTTCATTTGGGCTTAGTTTTTTTATTTATGGCATGATATTGGTAACTAGACAGGAGTGAGATTGTCCTTAGTTTGAACTATTGTATTGAAATTTATGTATTGTGGCATGATTGGGACTGGACATTTTTTTAATCATGATATCACTTTATGAGGGGCTAGATCACTAGTGTCTATAGTTAACATCTCATGAATTTCATCTACCTATTAAATAAGTTAACAACTCATTTATTTGGACTACTAGATTGGTCAATTTTTTTGGGTTATGAGATGGCCATGGGAGAGGAGGTAGGAGCCCTTTGTATTGTGGGATTGGATTATTCTCGTGGAGTCATTATGGGAGCTTTGTATTGTAATGCCACTTTTTATTGTTATTGCTTGCCCTTCTAGGGTTTTTTTGTAGGCCTATCTTCTAAGGCATATGCCAATGTTCCCTACTACCACTATTTTTTCTTTTTGATGTGAAATAATTTCTTTTGATGAATAATGAGTGAATTTATTAATAGATAAAAAGCATAAAAGATACACAGAGAAAATTCCTAAGATGAGGCACGAGATGCAGCCTCAGGTTAGAGCAAAAATTACAGTTTAGCCCAAAACATCTGATTCCTATGCACCCCTTGTTTAGCTAATGAATCTGCTAACCCATTTGCTTTTGCTGATCTTCTTTCCCATTGGAATTGGACTGACATGTTTTTCGTTAACCATTTGAATCTTTGTAAAGCTCCTTTATAGGACCAGGCTGCTGTTTCTGGTTCTTTTAACCACTGATCACCAACTTTGAATCACCTTCAATTAACAACTGTTCACAGTTCAGTTCCTTGGAAAATTCAGCTCCTTGTAGCGCTGCTTGAATTTCTGCATTGATTGAGTCCCCTACTCCTATAGGGCTAGAATATAAAGCAATGATTAGCCCTTTGGTATTTCTAAACACTCCCCCAACACCCGAAGGACCCGGATTGCCTAAACTGCAGCCATCAAAGTTGAGCTTAATGATACCCTCTTGAGGAGGTTTCAATTGTGCTAACGGTTTAGGTCTTGTACATTCATAAAAAAAAAAAACGGTTTAGGTCTTGTACTAGAGCTTTTGGCAACCACTTCCCAATTTCTCCATAAATCATCAAAAGAGAATGAGGAAAAGGGTTCCAGGGTCTTTACCCAATTAATGGCTCTATTAATTAAGCAATCCCATACAATGATCTCGTTCCTCTCCTTCTCATCAAAGATCCTGACATTTCTTTCTTCCCAAACAGTCCAAACCAGTTCAGCCCTAGCACACCTCCACAAGACTTTACCTCTTTTCTTAGGCCACTTGAAGGTTGTAGTCTCAAATAGATTGCTAACCTGCATTGGCATTGTCCACCTGCACCCAAAGACCTACAACAAAGGGACAAGATATTAGTAAATGGTAACAACTTTCTCCACTTGCTTTGCAGAGGACACACCAGTTGGGGGAAATACTCAGACAAGGTCTTCTTCTTTGTAGGTTGTCCAATGTGTTTAGTTTTTCAAGAGAGGCCTCCCAACAAAGGGCTCCCACTTTAGGGGGAACAGGTTTAGACCAGAGCTCTTTACAAGGGAAATGCTGAGAGCTAGGGACAAAGCATAAGGAAGAGAAAAAGGAGGCGCAAGAGAAAGTACCCGAAGGGTTAGGGGACCAAATATGAGCATCAGGTTTAGAAGGGTCCAGAGATAGAATCAAGCAAGAAAAGTAACCATGTTGTCTGGTCAAGCTCAGAATCTCTTAAATCTCTCTTGAAACCCAAATCCCAACTGAAACTAGAAGATGAGGAAAATGAGACAAATCTTTGAACATGTTAATTTTTAAAGCGAGAGAGGGAATACAAAGGCTACAAAAGATCCTTGAGGGTTGAATTTCCAATCCATAAGTCCTCCCAATGCCATAGATTGCCTTTCAAGGAAAGTTCAACGTGGCCCTTCGAGAAATGCCAACATCCCAACCATTGCCTTACTGCTCCATGAATACTCTCTACAACTTTGTGCCAAAGTCTTTCCTCCAAAGGCCATCTCCAAAGCCACTTACCCAAAAGGGTTGAGTTTTTCTTCCTAGGTTATCCAATCCCAGACCCCCTTGCTCCCTTTTCTTGCATACTAATTCCCATCTTACCAAATGATCCTGCCTTCCCTCTCCAGGCTCCCACAAAAAGTCCCTCATCAATTTCTCTACTTTCATTACCTCCCTTTGTGGCATTCTAAATACTGAAAGAAAGTAAATTGAGAGATTCGCTAAGGTGGATTGAATTAAAGTAATTCGATTCCCCGAGGTCACATAATTTCTTTTCCAGGCTGCCAGTTTCTTAGCATATCTTTCCACAACGGGATTCCAAAAACTTCCCTCCCTAGGATTGGCTCCTAATGGTAACCCCAAGTATCTCAAAGGCCAACTAGATGTCAGACAGCCTAACTCCTCAGCTACCCCACCCAATTCCTCCTCCTCTAAATTCAGCCCCACTACACAACTCTTTCGGAAGTTGATCTTTAGTTTTGACACAACTTCGAACAACTTTATCACCCCTTTCAAATTCCTTGCTATCAGAGGGTCCTCTGTCTCACAAAAAAGGATAGTGTCGTCTGCGAACTGTAGGTGTGTAACAGTAACACCTTCTCTTCCAACCCTCCATCCTCTAATCAAATTCAGCCTGTCCGCTCTCAAAATAAGTCTACTAAAAAGATCTGCTAACAAGGTTAAGAGGAGGGGAGAGAGGGGGTCCCCTTGTCTCAGTCCTCTAGTAGCTGGAATGAAATCTCTAACCACTCCATTAACCAAAACAGAGTAATGAGTAGTAGTCAAAGAATCTTCAATCCAACAACACCACCCATCTCCAAACCCAAAATTCCTCAAAACTTCCATCAAGAATGACCACCCATTGATCAGTGATTTGTCTACCTTGAATGGAAGCCCCTTGCAATTGACTTATTAAGGAGGGCAAAACTATTTTTAACCTCAAGGAAATTACTTTGGCCACTATCTTATAGATACTAGTCACCAAACTGATGGGCCTGAAATCTCTTGGCTGAATAGCATCTCCCTTTTTAGGTATCAAGGCTAAGAAGGTGGAGTTAATCCTTGGGCTAATAGAATGCTCCTCAGCAAATTCCTCAAAGACTAGCCATAAATCTGACTTGATATCCCAACAGTCTTGATAAAAAGCCATAGTGAAACCATCTGGCCCTAGAGCTTTAGCTCGATTCATTGAGAACACTACTCCCCTTATTTCTTCCAACTCAAAATCCCTTTCCAACCAGTGTGCCATTTCAGGGTTCAAGCTTGGCCAATCTAATCCTACCAGGCTAAAACTAGTGCCCTCCTGTCTCTTATATATCTTTTTAAAGTGATATACGAAACAAGTGACAATCTCCTCCCAGTTAGACACCAACACTCCATTGACTTCCAGTTTCTCCACAAAATTCTTTCGTCTTCTACCATTGACTAGTGCATGAAAAAATTTAGTATTGCCATCCCCTTCCTTGATCCATTGATGTCTTGATTTTTGTCTCCAACAAATTTCTTCTCTGAATAGAATTTCTTTCAACTCCTTCAGTGACCATCTTAGACTCTTGTCTTCCTCTGATAATATACCCAGACTTTCCTTGTCATCAAGAATCTCAATTTGGGATATCACATATAATTTCCTATCTTCTATTCTCCCAAAATTCTCTCTGTTCCACTCCTTGATTTTGATTTTTAAACTTTTTAATTTCCTATGGAAAGCTGCTCCTCTCCCTTGGACTCCTTCCTTCTCTTCATTCCACCACTCTTTCACCTTAATAGCAAAGTCCGGGTGAGTTTTTTTTTTTTTTGATAAATGAATGAGATTTATTAATCAATAGAGGAGAATAGTACAATGTCCCAAGGAGAGGCATGAGATGCAACCTCTCCTGGTTAGTTAAGTACAACTTCCACTATATTATAACAACTTACAAAGTAGCACAAAAAAGGACCTCCCTGGATACCCCCTGTTTAGCCAGAGAATCAGCCATAGTATTAGCTGACCTACTTACTTTTTTGATGAGTTCTTTGTAGCCCCAAATGGTAGCATCTGGGTTAAGCAGCCACCTTGTTACCACCTGAGAGTCCCCTTAACTAAGAGATTCTCCACCCCAAGCTGGTTAGCAATCTGAATTCCTTGTACTGCAGCTAGTATTTTCGCCTTTGTAGAGTCCCCCACTCCCACCGGTCCTAAGAATAAGGAGATGATGTTGCTGTCCTTGTTCCTCAGGACACCCCCAATACTTGATGGCCCAGCGTTACCTTGGCTGCTTCCATCAAAATTTAACTTGATGATACCTTCTAACGGCGGATCCCATTCTGATAAGCGTTTATTCTTCTTTGTAGAAGTATTAGCTATTATTAACCAATTCCTCCACAAATCATCAAAAGAGAAATCATCGAATATCTCCAAGGTTTTCAGCCAATGTATTGCTCTTGTTAGAATGCAGTCCTTCACTTCTTCTAATCTTCTTTCCTTCTCTAAGAAAACTCTTGCATTCCTTTCCTCCCATAGTGTCCATTAAGTTGCTGCCCTGACACATTTCCACATGAACTTGCCTCTTCTAGTGTGCCAAACAAAAAAAGAAGGGTTAAATAACATATTCAAATCAGTTGGCGGAGATCACCTCCCTCCAAATAAACTAAGTCTCCAACTCCATAAGTCTGTAGAAAGGGAGCATGAAATCAGCAAATGGAAACAATCCTCATTCTGGGCCTTGCACAAGAAACACCAATTCGGGGAGAGACATAGAGAGGGTCTCTTTTTCTACAAGTTTTCTAAGGTATTGATTTTCCCGTAGTAGACTTCCCAACAAATTATAACAATTTTTGCAAGGATAGGTCGGGCCCAAATCCCTTGGGAGATGGGGTTGGAATTGAGGGATTTTTGAAAAGAAGAGCAAGTGAAAACACCTTTAGGAAGGGGAGTCCAGACTCTTTGATTAGAAGAAGTGGGGCCAAACAAACAGACTCTAGTAAATGAAGAAGCTCAATGATACAAATCGACTCACCATCCCTCAAACCCATACGAAAACCAAAATCCCAGTTTAAAGACAGGGGACTCAATGGGTTCGGAAGAAAATTTGCAATCGGCTCATTTTTGTGAAGGGATAGGGAATAAAGCGATGGGAATTGATCTTTGAGGGGTTGAGTACCCACCCAAACATCCTCCCAGAACCTRATARCATCACYAGAGCAAGCAYCATACCTGATAAAACTGAGGAAGCGAGGAAGAATGCCATGTATAGCTTTCCAAGGTGTTGTGAGGGTAGCTCGACGAGATATCCCGACATCCCAACCATTTCTTGAGCAGCCATGAATACTCAACACCACCTCATGCCATAATCTCTCTCTCTCTCGAGGCCATCTCCATAACCACTTCCCTAGGAGGGCTACATTCTTTAGCACTATATTCCCTATCCCTAAACCCCCTTCTTCCTTAGGTTTATTAATTATCTCCCATCTAACCAGATGATCCTTCTTCACCTCCCTTGGTTCCCATAGAAAGTCCCTCATTATCTTCTCCAGTTTCTTAGCCTCCCTTGGTGGAATCCTGAACACTGATAAGTAGTAGGTTGGAAGGTTGGAAAGTGTAGCCCTAATCAAGGTCACCCTACCCCCTATTGAGATGTAATTCTTTTTCCAAGCTGCCAATCTTTTATCAAAATTTTCTACAATAGGGGCCCAAAAACTGCTTTCTTTAGGGTTAGCTCCTAAGGGTAGCCCTAAGTAGGTCAAAGGCCAAGGAGAGGTAATGCAGCCTAAGCACTCAGCAATGGAATCAATCTCCCAATCCTCCATATTTACTCTAGCCACACAACTTTTGTCAAAATTTATCCTCAGATTGGAGGTAAGCTCGAAGGCTCTTATTAACTTCTCAAGGTTGTCCACCTTTCTCAAATCACTCCCTTTGCAGAAAATAACTATATCATCCGCAAACTGAAGGTGAGTTACTGGACAACCTCTCCTCCCTATTCTCTAGCCCTTTATGTGGCCCTCCTCATCTGCTTTGGAGATCATTCTACTAAGGACATCAACAACAAGTGTAAAAGGGAACGGAGAAAGTGGATCACCTTGTCTTAAACCTCTGTTGGTTGGAAAGAAGTCCTTAACCACTCCATTCACCAAGACTGAATAATAACAAGAACTTAAACATCCACTTATCTAATTACACCATTTGTCCCCAAACCCACATCTTCCTAACACCTCCAACAAAAAATTCTAGTCCACTAAATCATAAGCCTTTTCCAAATCCAATTTGCAAACAAAACATTTTCTGCTAGATCTCCTCATCTCTTCCACACTCTCATTTGCAATGAGGATCTGATCTATGATTTGTCTATCCTATACAAAGGCTCATTGTGCTTGGCTAATGAGAGAAGGGAGAACTGCTTTGATCCTCGTAGAAAGCACTTTAGCCAAAATCTTGTAGACACTTGCCACCAAGTTTATTGGCCGAAAATCTTTGGGGTGTTTGGCTTCAGTCTTTTTAGAAACTAAAGCTAGAAAAGTGGCATTGATTCCAGGACTTACAATATGTTTATCCTCAAATTCTCTAATGGTTCCAATTAGGTCTTCTTTGACTATATCCCAGCAATCCTGGTAAAATGCCATTGTAAATCCATCTGGGCCTTGGTGCCTTAGCTCTATCCATAGAAAAGATAGCTTGTTTGATGTCCTCTTCCTCGATCATTCTTTCTAGCCATCCCTTATTTGTCTGATTCAAGATTGGCCAATCCTCCTCCCCCACTAACAACCGATTCTCCAGGGGTCTTTGTAATATTGATTTGAAATGGTTCACAATCCTACTACCAATCTCCTCTTGAGAAGTAACCTCTACTCCATCAATCTCTAGCTTTAGTATTAGGTTTCTCCTTCTTCTCCCATTAGCCATAGCATGAAAAAATTTGGTATTCCCATCCCCTTCCTTGATCCACTTATGTCTAAACTTTTGTCTCCACGATATCTCCTCCCTCAGCAAAACCTCTAATTCTTTTTTCAATCTCCATTTCTGGTCTCTATCATGCACATCCATTATCCTTTGAATTTCTTTTGCATCCAAGTCCTCAATCTGAACCATTAATCTAGCTTTTGCTTCCTCCAGTCTTCCAATTGATCCCTATTCCACTCTTCTATTTTGCCTCTCAACCTTTTTAATTTTTTATGGAATCTAACCCCGTTCATTTCACTTTCCTCATCTCTTCATTCCACCATTCCTTAATCTTAACCAAAAAATCTGGATGTGTTAACCACATATCTCAAATCTGAATGGTCTAGGTCCATTTCCAAAAGGTTCTTGTCCTACTTCTATGGGGCAGTGATCAGAGGTTATTCTAGGTAGTGCCTTAGCCACCAATCCTCTCTAGTGTTTCTCCCAACCCTCATTAAAGAGAAATCTATCAAGCTTCGAGCAAATTGGGTTTTCTTGGAAGTTGAACCAGGTAAAGACTACTTGTAGTAGAGGAAGTTCTCGTAACTCATAGGAGTTAATGAAATCATTAAACTTCCTCATACTAGTCGTGATGGCCTATCTTGGATTATTTGATTCAATTGTGAATCTAATTGCATTAAAATCCCCCCCCCCCCCTAAACACCAAGGGCCTTCCCATAAACCTTGAATGCCATGAAGCTCCTCCCATAACTCATTCCTCGCTCTGTAATTATTTGGCCCATACACATTTGTTAGCACCCATATAAAGCCATCTTTCATCGTCTTGAATTTTAAGGATACAGTAAAGTTTCCTATCAGCTCCTCTATTGGTTCTACAAAGTCCTCCCTCCACAGAGTTACTATTCCCCCCGAAGCTCCCCACGAAGGAGTTGAACACCATCTGACCCCTCTTACTTTCCAGATCTCTCTAACTCACCTCTTACCCAGTTCAGCTATTTTGGTCTCCTGTAGCATCACAATATCAGGTCTTTCTTTCCTAAGTAATTCCTTAATCAATCTCCTTTTTCTAGCACTGCCCAAACCCCTCACATTCCAACTGATTATCTTCATTAACCTTCATGAATAAGCCTTAGAACAATATTTCCTTCATTTGGTTGCCTTTTTCCTTTCCCCTCTTCCACTGAATTCGATATCCCCTTCAATGTCCAAAATTAATCTCTCTACTTCAGACTTCTTTTTCCTGCCCTTATTACCCACTGACTTCCTAGATGGCCCTTTACTTCCTGTTTCCTGCCCCAAACTGTTTGGGTTAGTATCTGCTTCAGATTTTTTTGGAGTCTCCTCTAACATTTCCTCTTTCTATTTATATTCCTCCAGCAAAGTACAGATCTGCTCCCACATCCATTCTAGTTCCTCCTGTTTCCTTACTACCAACCTAACTCCCTCCTCAGTTTGAAATCCCACCTTATCAATCATCATCCCCCTGCTGCTGCTTGGTTGGTCTGGTTGAGATTCCAGGATATCTGTCACAAGCTAAGAACCCTTATTAATATTTAAAAACAAATGGACAGGCTTACCTGAAGGTGGCTTAGATGATTGCAAATGGACCAGCTGTTGGGTATCAGTTCTTGGAGTCTGAGCCAGACCCATCCCCATTTCCTGATTCAGCCGTGGAAGTGAACTAGGTTCAGGCAATACTTTTTCACCCCCTACAACCACAGATTCCTCCCTATGCTTTCCCTCTGCGTGAATCCTTTGATAAGGCGCCATAACTGATTCCTGTTTCTCTGGTCCGATGTCCTGACTATGCTGAGCAAGTGGAGTAGAGTCGTTTATTGGCAGAGATGTCAACTGCCAGACCTCTTCGAGAGTTCCCAACTCCCTCTGTTTTTTGTTCGGAATACCTGGACTGATAGACATCTGTTCACCGCTGCTGAGATTTAGGACTCTTTGCCGTCTAATGTTGCCAGTGTCTTGCATGTCTTTCCTCCTCTGGAAATAAGATTTCCGTGTTTAAACTTCCTTCGTCCAAAATATCTTTTGGTTTTTGAAGGTCGATACTTCCCAGACTCATCGTTCCTCCATATTCTGAGTCCGAATCAGAGAGCTCTTCATCTTCTGTCAGTCTGTCCGAATCTGAGTCAAGTGACTAGCTTCGCTTCACACACCTCGGATTGCAGCGGTACTCGTCTTCTTTGTCGAAGGGATCCATTGTAACGAACTGGGAGTTCTCGCTGAACTGTTCACTGACCTGTGCGAGCTTGAGGAAGACAATGGTAGACCTTGTTTATTGTCTACCCGAGGTCCTTCCCCTATCACGTGCCCCTTTAAGTCATCACGCGCATACTTGATTCCTGGGCCAGTTATTTTTGGCCCACTTAACTTTTTGGGCCTGTTGGGCCCAGGAAGAAGATCAGAATTAGGATTTGGGCCTGCTGGGTGAACCACCACGCCACTTCCTGGCAAAACCCCCACCTGACCCGATGGTTTACCTCCCTCCAGCTGTACTGTATCCAGATCCTTTCCTTCATTTGAAACACTCAAAATATTTTTGGTTGGCGCCACAAGCGGCTACCTGAGCATAGGTTCTATTGGTTGTCAAACTTTTGCCTTGTGTCACACGCCTCCTAAGAGTTTCCTGGCCCAAATCTTTTGGACTGCCTAAAGGTAGAATTTCCATTTTAGTGAAACCTCCTTGTCTCTTTCTTCCAACCAACTTCAAGCTGCCACGTAGCTCCATTTCCTCCACCTTCTCATCTTCCTCCTTCCTTGCCTCCCTCCAAAAGTTAGCTTCAATGGAGGATACTAACCAAACTGGTACAAACAGTTCATTCACCATTACAGTCACCTTCCTCGGTATATCTTCTGGTTTAACTCCACCCAGTAGAATGGCTGCACTTCGTAGATCTCCCCAGAAGACACCATCAAGGCGAGCTCCACACAGCAAAGTTATTGAGTTTGCAGTTTCTTGATTCCAAAGATGGAAAAGCAACCCAATCACTTGGACAGTAACATTGTCTTCAACTGAGAACACTTTCGAATTTGAAGAGACGGACCATTTATAGACTGAAAAGGTCCCCAGAACATCTTGGATACAACAGGCTCTAACATTTACCTGGTTTTCAAGAGGGTCCAATACTGCTTTAACAGAATCGAACGGAGTTAAAATGAAGGTGCTTCTTAGCAACAGTCTGAGCTTCAGTAGTTCTACAACTTTCCACCAATCTGTCACCAATCCTCCAGCTTCAACCACTAGTGTTCTTTCCCATTTTCCTGCTGTTCCATCTGCTATCCAGGAAGGATCCCTCCTACTGTTTGCCATGGTTAAAAATTTCTTTTCTGGTACCTCTTCCTTGTACCTGAGCTGTCTTCTAGTTTCTGGTCTTTGCTCCCTTTCATCAATTTCCGATAGTTCTTTTTGTTCCTTTCTATTTAGGAATTTTGTAAGTATCTCAGCTATCTTTATCCATCCTTCGCCATTCTTCCCTTGAGGGAAGCAAACCATCTGCTTCCATCCTTTAGAAAAAAACTCAGTGAGGGATATGAATGCACCCTTTGCATTCCCCTTGTTCTCCATCACATATCGCCTACCTGACCCTGAGGACTTCTCTTTCCACTTTATCTGTTTCCCTTAGTTGCTGCATCAGAGACATATTCCTTCACCCAGATAATCATGTCTGAGCCTTCCACAAGAACCGTAGCCCTCTTCTGTTCTCTTATTTTCAGTCCCATTCTTCCTTTGATCCAAATTTCTTCAAAGAGAAACTCTTTGGCCTCTACCCTCAAAGCTGTCTGCCATTTTGCTTTCTCCACAAAGCCTCCTTCCACTAAGCCTCTATCCATGGTGTTATGGATTCTCTTCTGTTCTATGTCTTTAGTTCTAACCACCTTACAATCTCCTTCAACCATTAGATCCGACCATGGAAATGCAAAGTTTTACATTGGCTGCAGTTTTTTTCCTCTCTTCTCCTTCCTTCCTCCTTACTTCTTCCTCTCTCTTTTGTTAATTCTATATGGTAATAAGAGCGATGGGACTCAGAAACTTAGCCTTGTTAGGGAAGTGGTTATGGATATTTTCCCTACAGCAACTCTGAATATTATATTTGTGATGTTTGGATGAAGCCAAGTCAAGCCATTAGTCATGATTGTGTTTCAAATGGCTTTCCAAGTACAAATTACAAACTCAAAACAATTGGCACTAGAAACTCAAAAGTTAATCACTAGGAACAACCTATGGATGCTACCTCCAAACAGGTGTTAATTCTTGCATGGTTAATCCTTAGTAGTGAAACAAAAATCTAAAAGGGAACTCAGCCACTGGATGCTAAAAGGGAATGTATTGAAAATGCTGATGGAAATAATTGAAAGTGTAATTTGTGGGCACAGGCCTGGACGTTCATCCATGGGGCTTATGTTTTTTTGTCCATACAGATAGTTTTAATTATGTTAGCAACATATTTTCAAATCTGAAAGGTCTAGGGCCACTTAGAAAGTCTTTAGTCCCAATGCTGATCAGCCAATGATCCGAGGTGACTCTTAGTAAAGCTCTAGCTGACAATCCTGTCCAATGTACTTCCCATTCTTAGTTAAAAACAAATCTATCCAGTTTGGAGCAACTTGGGGGGTTTTGTAGGTTAGAGCATGCGAAAATGATCTGCTGAAGAGGAAGTTCCATCAATTCACAATCATCAATAAAATCATTGAATTTCCTCATGCTTGTCGTGACCAATTGGTTGGGGTTATTTGTCTCGTTTGTGAATCTAACCACATTAAAATCACCACCTAAACACCATGGTCCATCCCACAAGTCCACAACCCTCTAATGTCATAAAGCTCTTCCCACATTAAACCTCTATCTCTGTATCTGTTGGGACCATAGACATTCGATAGAACCCAAGTAAACCCTTCTCCTATACCTTTGAACTTTAGAGAGACTGAGAATCGACCTATTAACTCCTCCACCGGTTCCATCACTTCCTCCACATTGTCACAATCCCCCCAGAGGCCCCCCACGAGGGCACAAAGGACCAACCTATCCCTCTAGAACACCACACACTTCTCACCCATCTTGTATCCAGGATTTCCAATTTTGTTTCTTGTAGCATTACTATATCTGGACACTCTTTTCCGAGAAGATCCTTTGTTACCCTTCTTTTCCTAGCACTGCCTAAGCCTCTGACATTCCAGCTCAATATCAAAATTCAACTTAATCCCAACTCAAATAATCCCTTACTTTGGACCCTTCCTTCTCTGCCCCCTCGCACTAAATTCAAGATCAGTCGCAACATCAGATTTTAGTTTCTCTACCTCTGTTATTTTTCTCTTCCTTTGCTCAGTTGTCTCTTTTTTCCCTTTCTTTTTGGCATGGGTTTTAATGTTTTCTACCTCTCTCAACTTTAACCACATCGCTTGTACAAGATCTGTCGCCGGTTCCTTTTCCTTTTTATTTGTCCCTTCATCTACCCTCCCTTCCTTCTGTGAGACATCCTGTACACCCAACTCCCTTGCATTATCTTCAGTTACAGCCTCCTTTCTTTGCAGATCCTCAAAATATTCACACACCAGCCTCCAGATTTTTTCACCAAGTTCCTTCAACTCATTCTCCTCCCTCCTTCCTCCAGCTTCACCCCTCAAATCTTGCTCACCCTGCACACTATCCTTTTTCGTCTTCATAGGCAATGGCTGGGGCTAAACAAATGCTGTTACAGGCATAATAGACTTGTTAGTGTTCTTAAACTTAAAGACAGACATACCTTCCAAGGGGAGATCTGTAGGACACGATTTCTTGGATTAGAATTCAATCCACAGAGGTCTGTTTCCACTCCTGTAACAAGAGGCCTGGTACTGATCTGGACAACGGAACTTGGCGGCTGAACTTGGTTTTCACTCAAAATCTCTGGCGATGTGCCTCTCCACTTTGCAGAGAAGGTAAGTTATTAGCCATTAACAAAACATCCTGCACCTGCAGTCTCTGGGTTCACTTCGAAGTCTGCTGGATGGTCTTCAATACCTTTGCCGATGGCGATTTCTTCTCCCCTACCTCCTTCCGTTGAAGCCTCAGAAAAAATAGGAACAGTCAAGCTCGTTAGGTTCTTTGAACAGTCTTCTCCATCAGACTCCCGAAACTGTAGTTCTGTGTAAATGCTTTCATCTTTGTGGAACCCACCGTTTCTTACCAGGCAAACACTTGCAATGCTCGAGGTCTCTGCATCTTCAGGGTCTAATCTTCATCTCTTGATGAAAAAATGTTTTCCTCCTTAATAGATTTATCAGCAGAGCATTTTCTACTCCTTGGATTACGGCGTTCTGGAGACTACCAAATTCACTGTAACTGGTCTCCAGCTTAAACTCATTTGCCGCTGCAAATATTAAGATGGATGAATGGAAAAATCTAGAAAGGACAAGGTCATAAATGTAGTCATTCAAAGGAACTTAGGAGTAGCTCCAATAGGTGATAAATGAGAGAAAGCAGATTAAGATGGTTTGGTCATATATGCAGAGTGGATCATCTACAATGCCTGTAAGAAATGATCTGTTACAAGTTAAAGGGGCTAGAAGAACTAGGGGCAGACTGAGGACATGAGTTGAGGTAGTAAAAAATAATTTAATGGCTCAAATTTTAACAATGGATATGATACTCAACAGAATGGAATGGTGAAAGAGGATTCATGTTACTGTAGCTGGCACATGGCTTAGATGATGATGATGATGATGGATTGGAATTGGAATTGGAAAAGTTGAAAAATAGCTAGTTCCTAGTTGGCAGAAAAAAAATATAGCTCTTCTTTTCTTATTAACTACTAAGTTGTGGGGTTATTAAGTTTCTATTATCTTTGGGAATTTGATTGGTTTTCCTTTTACCTCACTGCCATACAATAATTGGAAATTGATCTTATATTATTGATTTGACTTAAAACTGACGTGCTATAGTTAGTTAGGTTTTGAATGTATCATGACGAGAAGAATATTCAGAAAGGGGCAACTGTACTGCATTATATAACGATTATTCCTCTTTTGAAATCACTGCTGCAGTCGTCCCCCTTGGTGCTTTTAGCCAACTTGTATTTATATTTTCATGCTTTTAATCTTTATGATTTCAAAAGTTGTATTAATACTCCATCCTGTAAATTGCTAAATTCAATTGTTCCAATTACAAGTATGTAGTGATGCCACTTGGAGGTTATTCACGTCATGTAGTTTTGCCTTTCTTTTAGTTTTTGATAATTAATTTATTTGCATTCTTAAAAACAGCAATTATTTTTCCCCTCTTAGGGTAAGCTTTCAAAGATTCCAATAAAATAAGTGAGATAGATTCAAATTTGAGATTTCAGGTAGGAAGTGCAGATTCACCAAAACAAAGGGCTTTTGGCACAATTGGTAGCCCTAGTTATTTCCTTAAACATATGAAGACAATCTTTTTATTGCTGTAATCAGCCAAGTATTATTGTTGGCATTTCTTCTTTCCTTCATGCTGTTTTTAACATTTTATGAAACCTCATCTCTAATATCTGAAAAATGGGTGATAACAGATACTCTCCCAACATAAAGGAGGTGAAAGTGCTGGACAAGAAGAAAGTAAGAAGGGCCAAGCTTTATTATCTCAGGGATAAGATGAATGCACTCAAGAAACAATAGCTGCAATTGAACTTGATTGGAGAAGATCAAATAGGTGCTTCCCTTTAGGTTAGATGACTCGGTGTAAAATTTACTGGACCGCAATTTTGACTCGGCATAATGTCCTTTTTATTTTCTTGAGATGTTGAGGAAATTAAAAGAACCAAGTGTGCAGGGGCACCCGCACAAGTAGTAATCTGTAATTGTTGTGGGGCTGATAAGCTAATTTGACATTGTAGAAGAGAGACCACTTGAATAAGGGGTCTTTGATCATTTTCTAGTATTTAGCTCTAGGATCGGGATGTGAAAATCTGAGTGGCCTAATTGTGGCTCCAATTCATTAATCCAGATTCTCAGCATGTGAACCAGTGAATTGGCGTATTAAGAATTCTCAAGGGTACCTAGTCTGAGACTTCATTGGTTTCTTCCAAGGTTCAAAATAGGGGTGGTCACGGGTTGGATTGGGTCAGTTTGAGTCATTTTGTTCAGCTGACCTGACCTAATAGGTTTATTTATTGACTAAACTGAAATCGACCGATTTTAAAGCAAAATCGACCCAAACATGAAGGGGTCGGTCTATCAGTTTAGTCGATTTATTTAATCTCTCTTTTTTTCTCTTTCCAAAACTAGAGTGAAGATTCCAACAATTGTCTCTCCATTACAATTTCCAAGAGTACTTGACAACAATGCTAGCTAAATCCAAAAAGGTAATAAATAAACTAATAAGGATAATAAATAACTTTATTTAACCTCTCTTTTTCTCTCTTTCCAAAATTGAAGAGTGAAAGACTTCAACAATCCAAAATGCATGTTCATTCCAATTTCCAAGATTCTTTCACATCAATGCTTGTCAAACCCAAAAAGGTAATAAGTAACTTTACTTAAATTTAAAGTTAACTATGATAGGGAGTAGGGCTGAGTAGCGATTACTTAGTAATTACTTAAAACATATAGGGTTGGTTCTTTCGGTTGTTATGTATAAAAATTGAAATCTGAACTGAGTTGTCGGTTTATTTTCTCTCACAAATCGGAACCGACTGGTGGTTTTGAGAAACAAATCAACTTAGGTTGGGTCGGACCGGTTTGGTCGGTTTGACATTTAATGTGAACACCCTAGTTCAAAATATTGAGTATTGGGCTCTATCGACCCTTGCTCTTTTTTTTTATCTTTGTTAACCTGGTTCAGAGGGGTCGGCTTAAGGCCCTTCTACCCCCTGAACTGGGTTAAACCCCGAAACACCCCTTGTAGGGGCATACCGGGAGGCTCCTGATATGATACGTATTGGTCGATACGGCCTGATATGTATCTCAAAATTTTGAACCTTGGACTTCTGATGGTGCTCAGGAGTCTGGACTATCATGGTAAGTAGTATTATACATTTAAACAAGGTTTGAAATTTTGATATGTATCGGGAGACTCCCGATGTGCCTCTACAGGGAGTGTTTTGGGGTTTAACCCGGTTCAGGGGGTAGAAGGGCCTTAGGCCGACCCTCTGAACCAGGTTCACAAAGAAAAAAAAAGAAAAGAGCGAGAGCCGATACAGCCCCGATACGCCCCTACCAGCGTATCTGGCTATATGATATTTTACCCATATTGGAAAATCCTAGTAGTAGAACAACTCTGCGTATGGTCTCTTGCTTGGTATTTCATGGAAGTGGGATGCATTTGAATTCACTGATCCATGGACATTGCATTTTGCATATACTAATATATTACCTAGATCCGTCAACGGTATTTTGAGGCGTTTAGTTATTCATCTTCTTAGTTCCAGGAATGTCTGATATGATAAAGAGCCCATTTAGTAACGGTATCAGAGTAGAGTAGTGAAAAAGCAATATTCAAAGATTTGTCGGGTTACATTTTTTTTAAGGCATCGGGTTACATTTTAGAAATGTACTAGAAGAGAGCGGATTAACTGACCTTGACCTTAATAGTTGTGCCAGTGTTTTCAAAATCTGACCGGAAAAATTGAGAACTGGTCACTTGATCAGTTCCATTTAATCATCAAAATACTTTTTGGCCAAAAATCATTGATTTGATCAGCGAATCATTGACTTGGGCAATTGAACTATCGAACCATTTGATCTGAGAACAATTTTTGATTGTTTTTTAGGTTTTTTATTTTTTTGTCAGAGCAGCTGTCCATTCAAATCCAACGATTGAACTGTTCAACCCAGGAATCAAATCCCAGAACGATTCCTGTCCGATCCCATTTTAAAAACCTTGAGCTGTACTATTCTCAGTAGACCCGTGCGATGCGATGCATGGTCCGAGGGTTGAAAAGGCTGCATGATTATGAATCCGACTATGATATCTAAAAAATCTGATATCCAATCAACTGGACCAACTGGTATTGATCAAAACTCAGAGGGATTCTGATCGGCTGAAGTTCTGGTATCATACCCTTCCAGCATGCCAGCATCATAGAAAGGGTCTTACTAATATATAAAATATGCTCGAGAAGCCAAAATAATTCTTACTAATATATAAAACATTGATTTAATAGTTAATTAAAATTTATTTTTTGGTTGGGAACCAGATGGGCAATAAAGAAAATCTTGCACACTGGGCTGGGCTATTTATCGCGAGCGAACATGTCAATGTTCTGGTCTCACATCTTATCATTATGGAAATAGTGAATAGTGATAATGATTTTTTTCTCATGGGTGACTTTTGGGTTTGATTGTTTGGCAATTGGGTATCTCTATACAGGATGATAGTTTATGTGAAGTGTTGTTTACCTAAGGTGGTGTTATTGATACCGTTTTCTGAGAAAATGGCACCACGTAAGTGTTTTATCAGAAAAAGTGGTGCTTCAGAAAATAGTCTCTTATTTGGTATCGTTTTTTCAGGAAAAAAAAACATTGTTCCAAACCACGTATTGAAAATTGGGAAAATGTGGTTTGAAGAAATGTCAAATTCAATGTTTTCTTAAAAAACAGCCCATTGCTGCCAGCAGTGCAATGATGTAGCATCATCTTGGACATTGGATAATGACCAATACTGAAAACAGTTCTACAGCACTGATACCAAATAAAACTAGTGTTGTTTTCCCAGAAAACAGCCTATATGACAGCATCGTTTCCAAACAAAAAATAAGAACCACTTTCTGAGAAAACGGTGCTTACAACTCAGACATATACAGCACCGTTTTCTGAAAAAACAGTTCTGTATTCCCAGCACCGATGTCAAACACCTACTAAAAGAATGATTTTGTTAAATGTGAACAAATATGCTTTATCAAAGTTCGAGAAATGTATACCTTAGGAAATCAATATAAATCTCATTGATACTTGAAAAACCAATTTCAATAATTTAAGTAATTATTTTTCTAACTTTTGGTTGATATTATACTAAGGTCAGTTTGGGAAGATACAGATATAAATATGTACGGTGTAAAATACAAGATTTAGGAAAACAATATTAAAGGTTTTGAGTGTACAGATTTGTATTTACACTCTTGAGCCTAACTTAGTTTGGAAATACAAATCTATACAATACAAATATATATAAAATAATACAAAATACAAAATTTTACACTTTATAAATTTGTATTTATACTCCGTCCAAACCGAGTCTAAGTTACTAACAAGACTAATAGTGGTGGTATAAAGTTTGATTGTTAAACAAGTGTAATTTAATAGTCCTCATTGTTGCATCACTCAAGTGGTTTGGAATTAACCCCATCCAATTGTTAAGCTCTCAACAGCAATTTCAAAAGGTGGACATGTGTCATTCCACAACTTTGTGGATATGAAATTCCTAAGAGTGTCTGTATTCTCTCCACATAGCTTGGTACCAATATCCAACTGGAGTCTGGAAGGACTAAATATCTCTCCTCCAACCATGAATTTTGTTGAAAAGTTCTCTTTACAACTGTTCAACAACGCTTAACATCTCTTATCCACCAATGACCCAATTCTTCTTCAACCACTTGTAACAGTGGACAAAGAAGGGAACTTTCTAATAGAGAACCCACTGACCCACAATCTTTATTAGAAAAGGAGAAAAGAAACCCATATGAGCATAAATGAAAATGAATGAGTAATCGAATTGAATAAGGGATTGGCTGCCATGGATCGGAGTATACAAAATTACAAATTGTAACCGAGCCGATTGGAGTGGTGACTCGAATCGGTAGTCAACCAAAATTGAATATTTAATTGAAGAATGGGCTTTTCCCTAATTATACTTTTTCCATCTACTAAAATAAAAGAAAAAAAAATCTCTTCCTATCTCTGGAAAAACTGCCGAATAATGGTTTATGGAGATGGCATTAAAGTATAACCGCTGACAATCCCAAAGTACATGCTAGTTATCTATAATTTTCTCTAAAATAAATAAATCTAGTTTGAAAGTTAAAATAAATCTCAGAAAATATCAGAATTATAGCTGATAAAGGCAACTTTTAGATCTTATTATCAATAAAAATAATCTTTTTAATATAATTTTTAGAATAGGGTAACTATTTTAAAAAAATATCATAAAAGGATAGAAACACAATTCATCTCTTTTCTCCTTTAGACCATCGAACAAATCTCCCCGTCTTCGGTCTCTACCTTTCTCTTTCCTAGTCCTCCTTTCAATGGCCATGAAAGAGCTTCATCGCTGCTTCCTGAAACCTTGGCCCTCCTTTCGGATCCACCTCCACGCCCAAGATCGCTGGAACCCTCTACTTCATATCCTTGGAAGATTTAATTATTTCAAGCTGGTTCTTTAGGTAGAGAAAATCATCCGGATCCATAAGTCTATGAGAAGCTTCCAAATTCACTTGAGTAACCAGCAACCACTCGCTACTGTTCCGAATTCCTGGCCATCGGTTCTTTCTTCGATTCGTCGGAGAAGCTCCCAAGATACCTGATGTAACCGTTTCCGGTCACGTATCATTTTTTCGTGATGTGTCAATTTTTTGACTAAGTACCTCATCATCTCGTCTACTCCCAAGTGGCCTGTGACTCAGGGACTGAAGTGGAGGTCCCTGGTGGTGAGCTACCTTGATGAACTGCTTGGAGGTGAGTTACCTTGATGAGTTGCCTGGTGGTGAACCACCTTGATGAGCTGCTTGGAAGTGAGCTACCTTGAGCCCTGTTGCTCTTTTAGAGGCCTCTTCCTTCAGCCTCTTTTCACATACCTTTGCCCCTGGGGGGTGAGGTCTTTATATACCGGAGTCTTCGTGGGTTAGGTGGAGCAGTTCCAGGATCCCAGCTGTGATGGGACTGGCTTACGTGTTAGGTGGATGAAATGCCATCAAACGGTAAAACTGTCCCTTCTCGTCAGAATCGGGGAGTGGGTGAGCTAATATAGTCGTTACAAGTCATAATCCCATAAAATGCGGGGTACAATGGTGAGCTCCTCGAGGTTGTCAGG